GTAAATAAAGGTGCGTTCAAATATTGTATTGCATTAATCGGCCACATTAATCGCATAGATGAACACGCTAATGTCGACAGCCCTAGACGTTAGGGTGAAAGCATCTGTTATGAGTCGAGAAAGAAGAACGAGCTTAAACTCTGACATCAGCGTCATTCCAAGCCGTGGAGAATAAGAGCAGCTGCTGAGATCCTTTCTGTTCCAATGGACCAAAACGATGCCCAATTAACAGAGTCGGAGCGTTTCACCTTCTTAAACCCCGAGTCCTTTCTGCCTCATAGTATGCACAGCACAACGGTCGAGCCGCCCGCAGCAAAGTTCAATATTTACTCTCCAGATAACCAGCAGCGGCCTCCCCGCGCTTGTGTAGTTATGAAAGTGAATTTAAGTGTGTGAAAGTGTGTCGTCTCCGCGGTGAAACGCGGCCTGAATGTTGAGATGAGAGCTCGAGATGGTTCCATAAAAAAAGCGTGTTTGTAGTGAGATGAAAGTGACGTTTTTGCGGTGTTTTTTTGTGGAATTTCCCAACCAAACAACTACACAACCGTTTTGTTCTTTGTGCAGACGGGACTTTCACTCCCGTGTTGTTGTTGCGCTAAGCGACGGCAGGCTTCCTGAAATATGAAGTGTAAAAGCTGCTTTTATCAGCACCTTTTGTTGTGTTCCCTCGGTTGGCCCTTTGTCCTGCTGATAAATCCACCGCAGCTGGCACTTTGCACATGTCGACGCTCTCTTATCGCTGCTCAAACACAGGTCACGAGGGCTCGAAGTCACACGCACACAATCACACACGGTTTTTTTACCGGCGCAGTGCGTTCCGTAGCGCGCTCTCTCTCTGGGGATTTATTGGCGTTTGATGTCACCGTGACAGATGTCGTAGGTCAAAGTAACCTGTCACAGAAGCCGTGCGCTTCAAGTACACACACGTGACACTTGTGGCTGAGGGAAACCACTTGTTGTGGCGGCAGCATCGTTGCGACCTCCTTGTGTTGTCGTTTTCCTTCTTGCAATAAGAAGTGCGTTCTGTTTACCGTTTGTTGTTCGCATAAAAATGTAATTAATTCATTTTTACTGTTGCTCGGGGAAAAAACTGAGAACATTCTCGCACCAAATCTCCAAAAATATAGGATTTTTTACTTTTAGCTACGCTAGCTGCGTGTCATTATTCGCAAGAATTGTGTCATTTTGTACAGATTCCCAAACAGTAAATACTAGTAAGTATAGTGTTTCTGTTTATTTTCACTCTGTGTAACATCTGGTCAAATGTTCAATTCATCCAGTACTACAAATATATGGAGAAAAAAACATCTGCTTGCTAGCATCGTCATGCAGAGCATGTTAGCACGCTAACGTTAGCATTTGGCTGAAAGCACCTCTGTGGCTGTGTTTCTCTGACTCTCCTCAAAAGGCACGCACACACTACACAGTTTTCACCGGGACGCTGTTGACCTCTGACCTCTTTATCTCTGACTCACTGTGGGACTCTTCACTATTGCCACAGACGCGGTGCCGACTACGGGGGACGGGTGTTGTCTCAGATAGCGTAGGTGGTCCTGATGACGACACCGATGAGGAAAATCAGGAATTTGCGGTACGTGGCCCATGGGTGTGTGCGCCCGTGCTTTGTGATCACTTCTAAACTTACTCTGTAATTGCTGGCGCACACACACACACACACACACACACACACACACACACACACACACACACATTATGTATGAGCCTTTTATCCCCCGGGGCCTCCGTGGTTGGAGCAACGGGCAAAAAGGCCGACTTCCTAAAAGACGCTTGAACAAAATTGCAACTACAAAGCAAAGCTACGAGAGGGCATTTGGGATATTCCCAAAATAACGGGGGGGGGGGGGGGTTTAAATCCTCTTGATCCGCTCTGAATCTTTGTTACGCCTTTTGAGAGCGCTTCAAAGGCAGATTTTGCCACGCTGTGTAGGAGGAATCCAAGTGATTCATGTCTTTCTTGCAGCCTCTTGCAGACCTGCCACATGTACAGGAAGTGGAAACCATGGCGATGGAGGATTGTGTAATTTGTGACGCAAGTGTCCCCCCCCCCCCCCCCCCAGCCGGCTTTGGCTGGTGCCGATTAAGCCATTTAATGTCTCATTGTGTTGCTGAGACCGTGCCGTTGTTTTGTTTGATGTCTCTGTTTAGGATAAATTATCATTTTTTAAGCTTTCTTCATGTGGTAACTATCATATTTAAATCCGTTGTTTCTTGAGGGAGAAATAAATCCTCCGACTCACACTGAGAGCGGACGTCACGGTCACTCAGGAAAACTACTTGCAGATTCATAGGTTTCAATGATTTGGCAGAACTCGTATCTTAGTATCCCATTCTCGGTATTATTGTGTCTCTGGATCCTTTAACACAAATCCACAACTGGTGGAACTGCCTGTTCTCGCCTCTCAGGGACACGTCTTCCCCCCCACAAGTCGCCTCGCTGTTCTTTCCGTGATCTTTGGCTCGGATCAGGCGTGTGCGTGGACACACTCCGCTGACTGTCGCCTTGTTGCCGGGGGGAACAGAGGATTGGAGGAAACCGCAGGAGCTGAAGAGTGTGTGTGTGTGTGTGTGTGTGTGTGTGTGTGTGTGTAGTCGTGACGTCGGCGTCACAACAGCTCTGACGGGACGACAGCGAGGACAAAAGACGCGTGCGTGAAAGGATCAATCGGAATGTTCCGACAGAAGAAAAAAAACAAAACGACAAGACGTGAACAAAATAATGGGAGCAGGAAACACGCCTTTGGAAGCGGGACGACAGGACGGACGGGTTCGGTCCGCCGTCACGTGATCAGCTGACTGAATGCAGCACATCGGCGGACAGATGCTGTTTGTCGATGGCTCACTTTTTCCTAAAGTGTCCTAAATACCAAATCTGTGCCGGGGAAGGATGGGGAGGATGGGGGGGTCAGGTGACTGATGTCCCCCAGCCGGCGTCGCCATCAACATGAGAAAACTGTCACATGGCCGCTCAGTCCTGCTGCTTTGAAACCTGTTTGACCAGCTGACACTTTGTCCCAGAGTATCTGCCGTTGGGCCTTCAGCCCCAGTGTTTAGATTCGCCCCGTAATGTTTTATATTCTCACTCAGTCAGCATCAGTTTTAAACTCTCTGAGTTCTATTTAAGCCGAAGAAAACCACAATATCCTCTTCCTCCCGAGGCCGCTCGTTGTCACTGTTAACTTCGACCTCTGTTAGTTGACCTTTGGCGACTTTCTTTAGGCCGAATACGAATATGAGAGTCGACGTGGTGGTTGGAGGCAGCACCTTGAGATGGTTTTCTGTCGATTTGAATATAAGTTTCTGTTTTGAGTTTCTAAACAGCTGGCAGGAAATCGCGCGGAGGCTTTCTCAGGAATTCGTCCTCAGAAAGTTCATGTTTTTGGCAGGAAGCATCTCGGATTAGCAGGAATTGCTTTGAGTGGAACTTACCGGAGGAGGAGAAAAGGAGGGTTAAGTAAATAAATGATTTTAATGTGGCTTTTTAACAGGATAAACAAAGAAAAGACATTTCACCCAACCTGTGGGTTCCAATAGGTTTTACTACATCTAGTAGACGAGGGTATGTTTGGTTTCGGCTCCACAGCTGTACGCTCGTGTTTCTCTCTGCTGTGGTTTCTACGTTAGAGGCGATGCGGTGAGGAATTGAACTACTTCCCGTTTCGGTGGAGTGGAGGCGCATCTACGTCAAAGACTCTCGCGGTTTCCTTCGATCCACCACACCAACAAAATGGAGGTCAGACTACAGTGAGCTGAGTTTAAACCACCCCCCCCCCCCCCCCCGCCCCCCGTAGCTTATTCCAGATAATCAGCCGTCATGCGAGAGACGCTGCTGGATGATGTTGTTAACAAAGGGCAGAGCTGAGATCGGTTACATCCGCGTCACATGTGAGAAGGAGATCTAATCTGCTCATTCATCGACAGGCCCCCCGGGGGGGTGAAGGGGGCCGCTGGATGAAAACACCACCGTGATTAGCATTAGCAAAGCATTAAGGGCCCAGAGGGGGAAAAGGTGTGACCCCGACTCTCTTCGCCCTCATGATACTCGCGATGACCCACTTGTGACAAGAAGCAAAGACGAAACTGCTGCCGGGTCGAGAATATTAGGTGAAAGATCACTTCAGATACGTGAAATGATTGAGGTTTTGACAAACTTTCCTATTAAGAGCTGTAGGATATTAGAAACAAATACACGACCCGGTTCATAAAATTAATAAAAATGCATATAGTGTACACCAGAATACAGCCATGATTCTGAAACTGTGTAATCAATAAAGTAATGACAATATTGTAAAAACACTAATTCTGCAACTGTAATAGAACAACACCAATGTACAGTTATGATTGTGTTTGATGTAATGTGATCAACTGGAATGCATGCATGTGATACTTGAACAACAACTGATATTGACTGAGGATCATTCGAAATCCCGAGTTACATTGAACTCACCAGAAGACTCCCAGAGGTGTGGACACTGACTTTCACACCTTTAAGCATTGTTATAAATACCTGTAGGAACCATTGTTCTCTGGTTCGCTGGTGGAGGAACAGACGGGCACTAGGGTGATTGGGGTGATTGTGATCGACTCGTGACGAAAAGACCAGCTTTTTAAACTAAAATCTCCTCTTTAAATTATGAAAACACGTTTAGTCCAGTCTGGATTTCCCCTTCGAATGAAGCGACCCCTCATCGCTGGTTCAGTGAGTAACGTTTGACATCAGGAGTCCAAGTTAGTAATTTGCACACCTAAAGGTTTATTAAATCACCTAAACTGCCAAGGATTCCCATCATCTACTTATTGCAGCAGTAAAGAGCGGCCCATTACTACACCGCTCAGTTAGTGGTAGAGACTCTTTACTGTGGTTAAACATTACCTGCATGAGCTTTTCTTAGAGATCACGTGTGCATGTTCATAGTAGATCCTCTGACAACCACCACGAGATAAGAATAAACACCTGCAATGACTGAAACGAAGAGACGAGATGCAATGCAAAAAGTTTTTTAATGCAGTAATTAAGACTACGTGGAGAGCGTCGACAAATTAGAAGAAAGCGTCTTTACATGTGGACGTACAATGACTCTGAATCAGAACACACAAATAAATAAAAAGCTTATATTTAAATGGTCGCCCCCCCCCCCTTCCCCCTATTCATTTACAATACTGGATTCCACCCACGTGTCGTTTTGAACAGTGAGTGAATTTTTTGTCGCCAAAATAAGCCGCCATGAACTCCATCTCCCGCAAGTCAACGCAGCATCGCCAAATGATACAGACCTGCTGTAATAAAAAAAAGGAAATCATGTGCTTAACTTCGGCCCGTACACGAGCCGATTGGGTGGTGTCCTTTTGTTGCCATGAAGCACTGTGTGCTTCTCTGTAGTTACTGAACTACATACATTTATTTTTGACTTATGGGCTGGACGGTTGATTCAGATAAGCTGGGGGAAAAGTTCATTGGCGAACATGTCGTCCCAGGTGCTCTCGGAGCACAGGGGCGAGGACATGTCGCTGAAAGGGGACGCGGATCCTTCGTATCCAGAGTCGCTGTAGGTGTCTGCGAGACACGGCTCCTTATCCAGGCCGCCGAGGGCCGCGGGGGACACGCCGGAGAAAAAGTCATCCAGCGGACTGTGAGCGTCACAGCTGGCGATGACCTCCTCCTCCGGCTCGTCCTTGACACTGACCGTCTCCTCCTCGACCACCACGCCGCCGCCGTCGTCAGCGTCACCTGTGACGAGGAAGTCTGCCTCAACGCTGCTCTTCTCCTCCTCCTCCTCCTCTGTGTCGCTCTCCGAGCCGTCGCGATGCCCGCCACCGCCGCCCACCTCCTCCACGGGCTTCGTGTAGATGTGGTCAAAGTGGATCAGTTCATTAAGGGCCTCCAGCTTAACTGATGGGGCCCCCAGAGGCGCAGGTGCGGTGGCAGGTACTGGGTGCCCCCCTCCGACCAGCAGCACCTGCGGTTCTGGGCACTCCTGTTCGCAGGACTTGAGGAACAGCTCTGGGTCAAGGATGTCCAGAATGCCCATGAGCAGATCAGACTAGGGGGGAGAAACGGGGGGAGGGGGGATTAGCCTCGTAACCTATGACCCGACTCAGGTGGTCATCACACAGCTTCGGACACGCAGTTTTAAACCGCTCCGACGCGACTTACCTCATGGTCTGTAGTGTCAGGATCATCTGAATCCATTGAGAAGTCTTCAGATTTGGGGACTGCTGGGCCTGCACCTGCTGCGGAGGCACACGTAGCCTGAGTGCTGCAGACTCAGAAGACCCGATCCCCAAACCTGCGTCGTTCCCCGTGGACAAATAAACCTGAACCTGCCGTGCAAAGGAAGGAGATGGTGGTTTAATTCAGACCGTGCCCCCCCCCCCAAAAAAAAAGAGCCAATGTTGTCCAGAACACTGGTCCAAACGTACCTTCTCCTTGGAGTCGAGGGTGTCCAACCCAAGTCTCTGTCTCAGTTCCTCGTTTTCTGTCAGCAGGCCACTGGATTTTTCCCGAAGTAGCCTGTTTTCGATGTGAAGTTTTTGGTTCTGCCAAAAAAAATTACAGAATTATTTGTACCTGAAACTTGGAACATATATGGGGAAGTGAAGCATGAAGGAATAAGTGAAACTAGACTACTCAGGAGGGGGTGTTTGAGGTTATTAAAGGAAATGAATGCAGTTATTGTATTGCAATGGCTTAATTAGAAGCAGATTATATACAGTGATCTTTGGACTGGAGATTTTTATCTAGGTTTTATTGATATATTAGATAATTAAAGACTAATAAAAATCACCTCCAGCTCCAACTCCAGGACCTGCTGCTCCAGCTCCCCCATTTTGGCCTTTTTCCGGTCTCTGGCCGTCTGAGCTGCGACTCTGTTCTTCAGTTTCCTTCCAAGGGGAAGAGGGGGAGAAAAAAAACAGGAATTTAGCACACGTATTTTTTCCGTGATGGTGACTGACCCCCCCCCCCCTCCATTCCCCCTCCCCGCCCCCCCCCCGAGGTCCACTCGGGCCCCACGGGGCTGCGCAGCCTGCGGCCATGTTGGGGCCACGCAGGCACGGCCGGGATATCGGTCGAACCACTCGAGATAACGCGGAGCGGCCCGACGGGTCAAACGTGCGGCGGTTTGAACCGGTTCACCGGGTGCGATTACTTCTAATGTCAGGCGGCACCGGCGAGTCGACGCGCTTACGCCGTGTTGCGGCTGCGGCTTTAAAGGGCTAATAAAAGGGGGTCTCGTTGGGCGTGTCCCCGCGGCAGCCCGGTCAGCGATAGTCGGCTAAAGCGAAAATTAATTTAATAATGTCAGACGAGGGTTCTATTCTGGGGGGGGGGGACTGACCTGCGGAGCGCCTTCTCCTCCGGACTCAGGTGGGTGAGCCGCTGCCTCTTCCGGATCGGCGGCCCCGCGGACGAGTTGGACTCTGAATCCGACGACGCCGGGCTGGAGGACGGCAGGACGACGGAGATCGGCCGGTTGAAGCCCGTCTGCGAGCCGGCCGGTTTCCCGGAAATGAGGAGCACTTTGTGGGGCCCCGCGGAGCCTGCTGTTACCACCACCATGGTCGCGGCGTCGTGAAATGTAGAAGTAATCGCGTATCCCTGTTGGATTCGGAGGAAAACCGGAGGGTTTCCCTGGTTGCCCGATCGCCGGCAATTCTCAACTGTTGAACCAGACGCACTGCGCCTGCGATCTTTTTCTACTGTCGTGGTGGCAAATGATTGGCTCCCGGCAGGCGTGACGCAGGTTGTTTACGAGCCGTGATTGGCCGCCGTCTTGATTAAATTTGCATTCTCAAAGTGACCTATAGTACTTGTTAGGTGTAAATTCCCATTATTCGCCATGAAAATGTCTCTTTAAATATGGCCTTTTGGACGTTTAATACCGTTGTATTGGTGTGGGTAAACTGGGATTTCATACTGGTAGTTTCCAGGAGTTGCGTCACATCTGGCCCACACTTGCTCACACACTACACAGAGCTGCAGTACTTTCACTGTGTTGGTCATGGAGCCCTGTCATCAGTTCCCTGGAAATACCGTGTTGTTGTTTTTTGATTCTTACCCTGTAATGATAAACGGAGCTATGACTGATTTATTATCACTGGATCAATGTTTTATATGTGATATCAGCTGAAGCACACAAAGGCCACTCTGGCAAAATGGGCCACACATTGTTTTTGTTGATCAGTATAGCAGATATTCGTTGCTTCACTTTTACCCTTTATGCTCACTGCCCATTGTCTTGCATTTTGTCACTTCCTCATTCTTTCCTTTGAAGGAGTTCAATCAAACGCACTAAACAAGCTTTACAACTCTTAATAGCTTTCCCGAAAGGCCCATTTCATATTTCCTGCACAGGAATTATGTGTTTGTCAGTTTCTCATCTTTGTCATCTCAACAGTTATTTACAGTTTTAATTCAAAATCATTCTTATGTTATCATCAGCATAATAATTTCCCAGTGGATCATTCGTTTATACGTATATAATGAAAAAGAAAATCGTTTTTTTGGTCACCATATGATCAAACTAAATAACAAAATAATTTTGGACAGAACAAAATATAGACATTTCTGTTCCATTCAGTTTAGAATTTCATCATACTGAACATAAATCAGGTCTCAAAGGTGTGCAGTGACACTGAGGTAGCTTGAGTCAAACACAACACCAAACAAAATAAGTTATTTATCCTACAACACAACTGGTGTATGCAGTGACAAAAACCACAACCACCGTGCTGCGCAACACACACCGGTTCAACTGGTAGAATGAAGTGTGTGTAGAATGAAATCAAGTGACGCAATCGAGCAGCTCGCAACTCTACTATTACTACTATTACTACTACTACTGCTGCTACTACTACTACTACTACTACTACTGCTGCTATCACTACTATTACTACTACTGGTGCTGCTGCTACTACTACTACTGCTATCACTACTACTACTACTGCTGCTACTAATAATAATACTACTGCTGCTATCACTACTATTACTACTACTGCTGCTGCTGCTACTACTACTACTATGACTACTACTAATGCTGCTACTAATAATAATACTACTGCTGCTATCACTACTATTACTACTACTGCTGCTGCTGCTACTACTACTGCTATCACTACTACTACTACTGCTGCTACTACTACTACTAATAATACTACTGCTGCTATCACTACTATTACTACTACTGCTGCTGCTGCTGCTACTACTACTACTGCTATCACTACTACTACTGCTGTTGCTACTACTACTACTAATAATACTACTGCTATCACTATTATTACTGCTGCTGCTGCTACTACTACTAATAATAATACTCCTATCACTACTGCTACCACTACTACTACTACTAACAATACTACTGCTATCACTACTACCACTACTACTACTAATAATAATAATAATACTACTGCTATCACTACTACTACTGCTGTTGCTACTACTACTACTACTACTAATACTACTGCTATCACTAGTATTACTACTACTGCTGCTGCTGCTGCTACTACTAATAATAATACTACTGCTATCACTACTGCTGCTGCTACTACTACTACTAATACTGCTGCTACTACTACTACTAATGATAATAATACTATCATTACTACTACCACTACTATTACTACTACTGATACCACTACTACTAGTAATACTACTACTGCTTCTTTGTACTCAGGAATCCTCACTGTTTACGGCTGTGAGCCCTTTGGCCCCGGACCTCTTCTCCCCCTCTGCAGGAGCACCGACAGGAGCCAGAGCAAACACCGCCTGTTTGCCGAGTTTTACCGTCACCACAGAATCAACATCTGAGCGTTTATGACGGTGTGTGTGTGTGTGTGTGTGTGTGTGTGTGTGTGCGTGTGTCACAGTGTCCTGGAGCCTCGTAGCAAATAGGTAAAACTCCTGGAGCGACATGAATGAAAGTTTACACTATCTCGTAAAAAGCAAATAGTGACTTAAGTCGTTGCTTTAAACTTCCTTCCTCTTCTATTCAAGTCTCTGTGGTTGGTATTCTTCACTCCCCTTAGTGAAGCACTGAGGAATGACATTACACTCTGAGGGATGAAGAGCATTTGAGATGTTCCGGCCCCATAGTCGCAGGCTCTGCTGCTCACGTGGATCTCGTGCTTTAGTTCTACGTTCTGTACGAAGCCAGTCGGCACCAAGCGGGAGAACAGTTTCCTTCTGTTCGGAAAACGCTGGGCGTTTAAAATGCAAATCGGGCCACATTGTTTCAACATTTTCATAGTAAGATGTAGATCAGTGCAGCGGCTGGAGATTCAAACCATTGACCCGAGCGTTTGAATAGAATAGCATTGAAAGAAGCGAGTAAGGGACAACCAGGATAAAATGTGTTGAGCGACATTCCCCCTCTGCCAATGGACTCTTGGCACTCGCTAAGAAGCACTTAATGAAAATCCTCTTAATACGTTACGTGCTTAAATGGGCGTAACACAACAACGTTAGCGCAAACAATTAGCAGGCGCTGGACGCAGCGTGAGGCGAGCGGATCGACTCGCTCACCTGGAGGCTGCTTGGCCGGGGTTGAAGGAAAGTAGAGGGCCCGTGGAGAACACTCCAGGGCCTCGACCTCCTCGACCCTCGTTCATCAGGAAACCTTTTGTTCATTAAAGACAACCGCAGCAAATGAGTGGAGTGACGGCGTAAACCAAGCCGAATCAACGTATTGTTATATTTCCTTCGTCCCTTAAAGAAGCTACACCTGGTAGACTGTTAGCGTAGCTTAGCACAAAGACTGAAAACGGGGGGAAACAGCTGGCCTGGCTCTTTAAAGCAGATGCCATTTCATTGGTTTGTTGGCATGAGATCTTAAATAGAAATGGACAAGTATCTAATATTGAATATTCGTGTGTGTTATAATTTAATTTGTTAGCAAGAGCCAAGCGACTGACATTATTTGCAGCATCGGCCTTAAATCATTGGTTACACATCCTGGCTTCAGATAATCGTCCTTGGAGGCTCTCCGAGGGATTGTGTGCACGGCTTAACTGAAGTGACTGACTCTGCACACACACACACACACACACACACACACACACACGCACACACAAGTATGCAGAGAAGGGGATCCTCCCTTGAGCTCTAAGGAGCCTGTGATTAAAGCGGGTGGATCCTTGAAACCACAAGTCAAAATGGACCAATCCCAAAGGCGCTAAAGAGAAACATCTCAGGGCGTAATTCACCCGTATTCCTTGTAGGCGGGGGTGAGGGAGGGGGGGGGGGGTAATAGCTGTGGTGTTAGATGCACCGAGCGTTACAGATTAAAAACGGCAACATGTGGTTTTCAAACTGGTGTGCCGGCTTTTCTCAGCACGTTGTGTACCGTCGCTGGCTGGTATTCATCAGGTGTGTGAAGGTTATGATGCCTAAAAACCGAATGTGCATTCATAGCTTCCCTCTGAATACGTGAATCAGAGAGACACAGATTTTTTGTTTGTTTGTTGTCTATTTGCCGGGCCGGTCTGCTGTAAACGGAGGTGTCTTGGGGGGAGACAATAAGGGGAGAGAGATCGCACCCTGGGACAAGATCCAGCTGCAGGGGCGGCGGGGGCCTTATTTACATACCCACAATCCACTGGGGTGTTTGCAGGGCCTCGTGCCTCTGGAGAATCTCCAACGCTGTCGCTCTCTCTCGCGTTGTCCTTTTTTTCCACTGCTCGCTTTTTTTTTTTTTTGCTGTTTATTTCTCAGCGACACAAATAATCACATTTGCTCAACACAACATCTTCTCCAAAAATAATGTGCTCGGACAACCGGGACAAAAATCATTCCTCCAGCAGCAACACGCCGGGCTGCACGATGATGCAACACCGGTCTGTTGCAACTCTGAGACAATCGGGCCTCGACATGATGAAACCCTCGATCACTTCCTCTTCCTTCGGCGAGTGTAGCATGCAGATAATATGCGGTGGCCACATCCTGCAACGACGGTCTTCTTAATATTTGATATTACAGGTTTGCCTTCTTCCACTCAAGCTTTTAGATGTTTACAGTCTGGCGTGTGCGCCCACGCAGAAATCACGTGCCCAATGCTGCCCCCTGGTGTCTGAAGCGGCAAACGACACACAGAAAAAAAAGCCCCTTTTGAGTTCCCTCGTCATTTAATTCAACCTATTTAGTATGAAACACCCATTTTTTCACTCGCCGCTGATGTCACGGATCGTTCACATCTCATTCTTTTGTTTTTGTGAGTGAGGCCGTTGGATTCACTGAAGAACACCTTCTCCCCCTCTGACAAGTTGATGCCAACGTAGAAAATCTTCTCTTGGAAAGTTATTCATCTTGAGCTCTGACCGAGACTTTCATCTTAATTTGTGCAGCTTCTTTGGTTCCATCGGTCAAGCGTTAGTAGGAAATTGATCTTTCTGTGCCACACAGAGCAATTCTCAATGACACAGTATCATTGCTGTTGACAAAACACTCTCCACCCGAGGAACACGCACCTCCATCTGTCGAAGGTCATGTGATACGATCAAAAGCACCAGGAGAGCCACTGAATAGTTACGTGTGGGGGCTATTTGGTCTGTTTGTAAGACCGAGGATGAGGAGGTCTGTGTTGCTGCAAAAGGACATCCGAATAAAAACGTCTCTTTGTGCGATGAGAATCCGGTGGACTCATTATTTGAATAGAGGGAGGAGCTGGTTCCAAAGATCAAAGATCT